ATATGCCGCCGCGACCAGTTCAAGCGCTGCCACGAACTTTGAAAATCGACCGAGAGTCTCGCGGGCCCGTTCCCTCGTACATACACACGGGCTCAACGGAGCTCTGCACCAGCGGATCGCGTAGATCCGCTCTCTTTCTCTCCATTCGTTTCGTTGTACGCGATCGTCGAAGTCGCACAATGGCATTTACCTTCATCCGGGCGAGAAAACGTTCGATGAAATCGAAATTTTCCAACGCGAAAAATTTGCAACATGCGAGCCGTGCCAGCTCGAGGCAGGCTCCGAGGTAAACAGATATATTGCAGGAACGCGAGAGTTCTTTCTATGTGTTACTCCGTGTTTGCATTACGCAATTACGTCAAACGTCATTAAACCGTCAATTAAAACTCCACTCACGCGTGCCTTGTATATATATAATATTCACATCTGATTAAATTCGACGGCCTCGTTTCAATCAGCAGAGCACACAAATTAGCAGGGAGGAGATTCTTATTTATCCCGGAAGCCCGGGCAGAAACCAGGAGAGAGATTAGCCGGAGGCAGCTTGGAAATCTGGTAACGATTCTGCCCGACTTAACCCGAGTTTTACGCACGGCTTTAGGTAAGACAATGGCGAGGTTCCAGGTTTACATTATTTAATGCCCCGTCGGCGACGGCGGTCGGGGCGTTAATTAGGCAGCGCTCATATGCTAATACGGGGGACTAAGCTTCGCTTATTCGCATAGTAGCTGCCATGAGCCGCGTACAAGCATACTGCGCTCACTTGGTTACTCGCTTTACACTGCACAGTGCCAAGCCTCTTTCGCTAGCCTTCCCGCGTGTCCTACCAATCCGAAACTAACACCACCGTCTCCTCCACCGGCCCCGATGCACATTCGCTTCGCCGACACATTCGCGCCCCCTAACCTACCGAGTTATTTGTCTCGCTAATATCTTCCTCGCCCACCCGTTTCGCCTCTCCCTTTCCCTCTTGCTCCGTTCCTGTCCCTCGCTTTCAGCAACTTAACGAAGATAACCTGCTTAGCTGCCGTCCTACGAACCAACGTGTAACCACCTAGCTGTGGTCTGCCCTCTGCCACGATTTTCTCGGCGTATCTCGTGGCCAAATAGTCAGGGTTGAGCGTTGTTGAACCTTGGAATCGATAAGCAATCGACAGTGACCTCCAACATATCGTTGGACAGGTCCCTAAATGATTTTATTTCTTGCATTTTGTTTTTTTTTTTATCGCGACACGATGCAATAACATCTTTATCGAATCTAATGATTGAACCACGAAAAACATTGAAATTTATTAAATCACGAAAGTTACTTTTTGTACTTGAAAGTTTGACAATTTTGATCATATGGCATCGATCGTGTGCCTTTCCTCGAAAGGTCATCCATCGATGTGGGGAATGAGTAACTCTGATTTGAATTTGCTGCACTTTGACTTTGTAAGTCTGCCCGATTCAGACGATTAGCTCTGTCTGAAAGATAGAGTTCGAAAGACTCACTTAGCCGCTTAGAATATTGACCGAGTAACTGAGCTTGACTGAATTTAATACTAAATTGTCACTTGATCCCTGAATGATTAGTCACTAAACTTGTGATCTCCTCAGAGTTCTTTTTCGTAAGAAGATCTTGGTCTTTCCAAAAAAACATTCTGAGGAGTCGTGGAGACACCAGTGAAAAAGTATAAGGAAGTTTCCAGAATTTCTCGTTACTATTCCGTGAGGTTGCAGGTTTGGAAAACGTCACTATCCCGTTGACTGCACGACACTTGTACGCGTGTGTTTACGACAAGACAATTGCTCTTGTACGGGAGAAAACTTCACGCACTCAAAACTGACTGAGATTTATGGGAGGCCTGGTTGTAAATTTTCCAAGTGGTCTATATTCGAGGGATGCAAAAAAAAAAGTGTCTAAAAATTCTTAATTTGGCTGATTGTAAGTTTAGAACATACTCGCCGAGAATTGTCAGAATTGTCTACAAATTCTTATTTGCGCGAGCGCGATATCGAATCGAAATAAACGACACTGGCCACCTGGCTGCATCGTTCTCGCAGGAAACGACTGGTTGGTTTGACTTGGCTCGGCGGTTTGGATCAAGGCAGCTCTCGTCTAAGATTCCAGCGGATAGGAGAGTACCCGGTGCCCCCGTCGAGATCGGTATCTATAGACTAAATGGCCCCTCGAACGGATCCGTCATTCTAACACAGAAGGGATCGGGCTCGACGGAGCAGCTCCTCCTCGTGCTTCTACGCCGCTTTAATTTATCCGGCCTGACGCCGAGGAAGCGCGAACTGTGCAACCCGCTTGAATTGTTCGACTAATTCCAGCCTGGGACCACCGTGAAATCCGGCGTCCCAGCTTCTGTCCACCGGCGAGACTTTAAATCCAGCCGAGAGCCAAAATCGCTTCTGAAATCGCCGCGAAATTCTCGCGAGAGGAATCGAATCTTCTTTATTCCGTCGTTTGTTAGAGATACTGGTCGAGCGTGTATTTTTTTTTTTTTTTTTTTTTTTTTGAAGATATACAGGTGATTTGCGTAACTTGCAGACCCGAAATAACTTTTTAACTATGAAAATAAGTCTAACAAAGAATTGTTTGATACAAAAGTTGTATGGTTTTAAGGGAGGCGTGTATGTTGAGGGTTTCGAAATTTTCAACGTCAATTCTAATTTTTTAAATCAAACTACATATTTGTTTTTCACCATAAATCGAAAGAATATTGAATCCCAAGTAAAAAAGTATTAACGTACATTGGTCCTAAATCTAATAGTTAAGGAGATATTTTATGATGATTTATGTCGAGGATGAGAGAACTGGTATCGTCAGAGAATTAGACAATGTTTAAAACACCAGTGTTATTATGTAGAGATAGTCACATCGGAATACGGAAAATTCATTTTGTTAGTCTAGAAATTCTGTTGCGAATTCTGCAATTATTGAAATTCGTGTGTGATTTTTATAAAAATAGAAGCGTTAATGCTAAAAACACGTAAACATTTGTGACACGGATGTGGTTTAACCAAGCGTGACAAATTAGGAATTTCTAAACTTTTTGACCACTTACAAAAATTTACGCAATTTACATTATTGGACATCAAATAATCCCAATTGGACGAGGGAAGTTGATCATCGACGTCCATGAAACATTAATGTGTGGAAATCGAATAATTGATTCACACTTTATCGGTGGACAAAAGTTGAATTTTTTTTGTTTGAATAATATTATTCAAGTTTGCAGAGTAACGACGCGATAAAATGTTTTTTTCTTCCTGCAGTTGTTGCAAACATTAATCGCGAGATGAATTATGATTTAGATCGTAAAATTGTGTTTCGCAACGCGTAGAAATATACACCGAACTCTGCGCATGATCCGTGATTTATGAAGCGCCGCGCGGATGAATTCTTGGCGCCGAGCAGAAACTCCTCATTAACACTTTGAATTATAATAGCCATCGCGCTCCGAAACGAGCGTCTACCAATTTACTCAATGGCGTCAAACGGCGTTCAATTAGGTCAACGCGTATTTCCTCCGTCCGACTTTTGATCGTCGTCGACGATTTCCTTTCTCGAGAGAGCGATTTTCATCGTTCGACGAGTGTCGATTTACGATTTTCACAATACACAGGTACGTTATCCTTGGCGACATTTTTTTTTGTGAGGCGTCCTTACTGCGTGATCCAGGTAATTAGTTCTGTGTTATAATTTCCTGTTAAACGGAACCGGTTCCCCGCTTTTAATTAACCCTGCTTATATATATATAAAAGAGTGAACGACGGCGAGGATGCTTGCTAGTCGATCACGGTTGCAACGTCGCGTCGGACTCGCGTTGCGCCAGTGATGAAAACTGGCAATCAGTTCGCAACGAGTTATTTACCGATTGATCGATCGGTCGCTCTTGTCATTGCACCCTTGTACACCTTTGATCGATAAAAATAGCTCAAGCTCATTAGATGCGTTAGAGTTTCGCCGTTCGTTTCGAATCGTGGTTGCAGCAACGTCTTTTAGGGAGAGACATTCATGTGACTGACGATTTCTCCCGGTTTCTTTCCCGGGATTTCTGATTCAGCGCTTCGATTCCGTCTCGTTTCGATTCTTCGGTGCAACGTGACGTTACAAGCTCCTCTGGATTTCGTCTAACAATAAGTAAGTCTAGACGTAGATTAAGAGGGATTAAGACGATCGTGTTCTCGTGGTTACACGCGCCCCAAGCCGGGCGGAGAAGAGCGGTGTCGGTGAAAGAGCGCGCGACTCTCGACACCTGTTTTTTGAAGCAGCCCGATCCCGTGGCTTTCATCTACGTGGCGAGGAAGAAGCGTCGGGGCCGAGGAGGGCCTCCTGTTGGAGTGGATGTATACGCTCTGGGGACGAGGGGCCCGAAAGGAGGCGAGGCATTGTCGAGCCGACGACGCGTCGCGTCGTGTCTACAGCTCACGCTTGGCCGGCCACGAATAGGGGAGGAAGAGGAGGACGGTAGTAGTTCTCGCTGCGGAGGACTCGCGAGAGTCGGATGGCAAGGAAATAGAAGAGGGAGGCGAGCCGACCGATGAGACAGGGTGAAAAGAGCGAGAAGGAGAGAGAGAACGCTGGACGAAAGGATCTCGCTGAGGCAGGGTAGATGGAAGAGAAAGAAACGAAACGGAGCGAACAGAGCGGAGCTCGAAACTGGCTATATACAGCCGTCCTAACCCAATACAGGCTATTAGGAGGAATAACCTGGCCTATGGCGAGTCGGTAACCCTATATCCTGGTGGCGGCGGCCTTTGATGCGCCGCGAGTCCCTCCACCTTCGCCTCGGTGCTCACCCACCGCCGTGCTCCCCGTGGTCCATCCACCGAGGACAGGCTACAAGAGTCTCGAATACCTCTCCGGATACTCCCGGTGTCCGATCACCGCGAGTGCCAGAAGAGGGAGGCTACAGGCTACATCCCGACTCTTCCCGACGAGATGAGCGCGGTTGCAACGGCCACGCTGCGCTCTCTGTGTTTCGCCCCGTGTGTATTCGGACGACCGTCTATCTGTCCCTTCCTTCCTCCCCCATCCCACCGCCCCCGCGCTTTCCACCGATGTCTTTCGTTATAAATGCGAAACATCGCTCGTTCGGACTTCTGCCGGAGTCCCGTCCGCCGCTGTACCTACTACGTACAGGACGCGCCCCCGCCGCTCGCGCAACATCCGCCATTCCGCGCTTCTTCGTTCGCTCGCGCCTACATAGCTCTCAGAAAAATACCAAGTTCCTTTCTTCATTTCAGCTATCGGGTATCTTTAGGTCATAGGGTACAACAGCGACGATATCCCTTATCTTTTACTAAAGAGAAACTAAACTTCTTTTAGAGAAAAAAATCTTTCTATCGAAGACAAAGTTCTCGACAAAGGATTAGCCTGAGAATCTTTATTTGGTAATTGTTAAGATCTTAAATTTTGAAATTGTTGTTATGAAGCGGACGACGTTGGTTCGTCCGTTAAGATGGAGGAGATTGATCCTTCGTTTTTCAGACAATGGCGTATAGAGCATGTTTTCAAGCTTTCCGGATCCATTTTTAGTTCAGGTTTAAGATACACCCGGGGTCCGGTTACCGCGCCAAGTCGCGGTCTTCCGAGCCTGGTTCTCCCTTTCGTCAACGTGCTCTTCCACATCTTGGAGCGTGTTTCGCTCGGTCTCTGGTTTCGAGAAAACACGCCGAGGTTTCGGAGGCCTTTATGGGTATGGTTTAATGGCCGGGTATGCGGTTAATGGACACAAACACCGTCCTCGAACTGGTTATGTCTCATTTACCGATTAAGATTACATGACACGGGCCCTCGTGGCCTAAAACTTTTATTTTCCTTCGCCCCGAAACATCCGTATTCCTCTCTGCCTTTCTTCATTAATTTTTCATCTGAACGCTGCTCGTCGCCGTTCGTTAGCAGTAACGCGTCTCGCGAAACCAAGAGATGTCCCCGAGATGTCCCCTGTCTATTCAACGACATCTTCTAAATCAGGTATGTCCAACCTCTAGACTGCCTTTAGACCCTATTCACACGACGCTCTATAACCAAAATTCGAATAATTGAATAAGTATTTTTTAATCATATCTTTAATAAGTAGTATTTTAATCATAATCATATCTTTTTCTTAATTTCGCGTCAGAGTGACTAATTACGAATAATTTCCAACAGAAAAATAAAAAATTGCCAGCGGACGTGCAAATGGAATGTATTTGGAGTGTCTTTGTTAGACTTTTATAAACTATATACCTGATGCGCTGTTCATGATGTCCTTTTTGCGGAGTACCTACATTTGCGAGCAGATTTTTTCCCATACGAAACATACAAAAAATAATATAAGACAAATTTTAGACGAGCATCTTGAAAATAATCTTCGTATTGCCACTACTTGTATCGATGAACTCAATTTTCATATTTCTTTCATTAATATAAATATATTTTTCTAATCAATGCATTGTTTCATAATCAAATTCAATATCTTCATAAATAATATAGATTGCATTGAACTGATGAAAGAATATGTAAACTATGTGCGGCTCTCAATAAATTTTGATTGGCCAATGAGTCCCAAAAGATCTAAATAATTACATACTGCGATGTTCAGACAAATTCGTCTCTCGTCGAGTAGCGAAGAAGTCGAAATGATTTTTGGGGACTTTTTGTTTCCATCGTTCCACTCTCTCAAGTACGCGATACCGTATCTATTCGTCGAATCGATTATCAAAACTCAGCTTGGCTTGAAACTATAAAGAGTATCTCGAGAGACACGTATCGCCGGCTCGATAAGTGGCGACGTTTTGCCCGGTGGACAGAACGCGTGTTTGTCTCGCGATTATTCCACGCGCGCCCGATACAGAGACTGGATCTCTTTATAGAACTGCGTCGAATTAAACGAAATCGAGGTTACACGACATCATCCTTCCGCTTCAACATTAATCGAAGATAAGCGGAATGGTTTCTGGAATCTGCTTGTTTACCGGGTATCGAGTACCCTTGTCGCGGATTAATTATTACGGTACTACGTCAGCGGACGAAGCCAGTTTCGCGTCACCGTTACCGGAAGCCATTGATACAAATATACACCAACGTTTCTGTCTAATCAGTCTAATCAGTCAGCAGTTCTCTCAAATTGATATTCTTTATTTGAAACTTATTCAAGCTGGATCTCTACATTTAATAAGCCGTTCCAATGAATTTCCTCCTTTTAATTCTTAACCGCGCACCACCGCCGTGCATAAATAATCGGGGACTCGATGCAAACGTGCGAGAAGTTGGATATTTTTGTTACGTATCGACAGTTACCAATTGACCAACTTTTTTTCAATCTAACTGAATTTGCATTCTTAATTTGTATTTTTAATGCAAATTACGAATTTTTAAATATGCCGATACCTCGTAAAATCTGTATAAACGTCCTCTCGCGACGCGGTTGGAAACACGTATTTCGATCGTTTTAAAATTTCAACAACGAACAGATATATTTAAAGTCGTTCAGTCAATCTTATAATATTAGCTATTCTTTTTTATCGAGATCATACACACACACACACACACACACACACACACACACACACACACACACACACGCACGCACGCACGCACGCACGCACGCACGCACGCACGCACGCACGCA